CACTTATGTAAAATCAGTCACGTGCGTCTCTCGATGAACAGTTCATCCATTTACGTCATTATTCTGTGAACAGGTAAACATAATTGTTAAACGTCGAATCGATGGACAAAGTGCTGTTCAATAGGAAAAAAATATATTTACTTGTTACACGTGTAGTTATGTAAGGTGCTTACGGTAAGGATCATGGAACCGTATCATTAAGTTACGAAAGATCGTACGATGGCGGTGTACGCTTATAGTAATTCCATCAACTAGCTTGTTTTCGGTAGAAAATTTTATAAGATTGATTAGATTAACTTCTACTGTCACTTCGGCGCGCGAATGCTATTATTATTTGAAATTTTCAAGACTTAGAATTTTGAATAAAATTCGAAACCGAATTGCTTGAAAATTTCGTCAAAGTCGATTTATGAAGAAAATAAGAATTTGGTAGAATTTTTCAGTTCTACCAAAATATTCTCTAAGTACATTACGTTCGATTCAATCATTTTCGGGAAACAGAGAGGATCATCGCTTTGTGATTGTTACTGCATGCATAAATTTTCCGCACACCGTGTTACGCGTTTAATTTTAACTGTTGCACGAGCGCCCAACATCGACCGATCTTATTCACGTCTTTGTCCGTTCCTTTCATACTTCCGTGCACTTCAAAGAAACGTATTTTTGAGTCAGTTCCGTTTGAATATCAACCAGAATAATAAATACCATCCACCGTCATTCTCAGACGACTGTACAGAACGTGTCTCGTCATTAAAGTACAATTTTATAATCGTGACTCCCGATGAAATATAGACAAGTGTTTCGTCTGATCGCTTCTCTCCCGTCTCGTAGATTTAGTTCGAATTAAATTTAAGTTACATTTGAGCTGGATTGTAAATCTCTATCTTATCAGTTTGTTCATTTACATCAAAATATACGGAAAATTTAATTATTAATTTAAAAATTAGATTTGTTTAATTATTTCGTCTAAACCCACGAATTCCCGAAGTTGAGATTTGGTATTTGAAGTTAAGTTAGGCTAGTGCCCACTAAAGCTAGGGAAACTACGATGGAGTTCTTCAAATTCTCCGAGCTCCCCCGCAGCGTCCATGAAAACCTACCCTGGGCGTTTTAGAGGGTAGAAATACCACTCTACCCTCTCTTCTTTCCGCAGGAAAGAGGGTGTCTGGAAGATTTCCTCCGTGTAAAAAAATGTTAGGAGTCAGCTGCCTTTTTCCCATAATATCCAGAAAGTTTCATTTCGATCGTCCACGAATACCATCTGAAAAGAACACTCAGTTAGCTTCAAAAATATAATACGGATCTATGTTTCTCAAGAGTAGACTGTAATTAGTAGACCTTATCATTAATTTATATAAAATTAAAAAAAGTAATCTTTCCTGAAGAGTTCTTCTCATCGTACTGTCTTCTCTTTGACGCGCATGCACGTATATGTTAGTCCTGACGTAAATGTGTTCCGTAGCATGGCATGAAAAAGAAACCGGAACTCGCATGACGCGCGTCTTACATCGTGAACAAATATTCGTGAAACAGACCACCATCATCATTGTTCACCGCTGTAATCACTCCTGAGACTGGCTTCACAGGCAGCGTTTAATATTTCTAGGATTTACAGGTCAGTTATTTTTACGGTACACTGCAAGCTTTGCATTTAATATTTACCTTCAAGATAGAAATATTTGAGTGTTATTCTTAACAAAGTGTTCATTGCATAAAGTTCAAAATTGCCATTTAATGAATGAAGAAATTTCTGCTATCTACATATTTTTTTGTTTTATTTCTATAGCCCACGTATTGTAGAAATGGAATATCAGGTAAATCTTCAATTAACCCTTTGACTGCTATCGAAGCACATATACGTCAGGTGAAAGCAGTCGGTGCTGACTATGGACGCACATATGCCTTCACACTTTGATTTTTGTAGATTTTAATCATAATCAAATAAAATTTATCAATGTATATTACTAATTACGCACCATATGTTATCAGATTATAATGATGTGACAAAACAATGAAAAAAAAGTTGAGAAATGACATGAAATAAAAATAAAGAAATGATAAGTGTTATTGACTTAATTCTTATTTCCTACACACAGAACGTTTACGTTTAGAATACTCAGCAGTCAAAGGGTTAAGGAGAATGTAAGGTGGGAGTGTAAATTTACTTGGATAAAATATTTCGTAAATGTGTATTTTTTTAACATTGTACGTGTATCATAATAGCTTTATCATCGGAGAAATTGAGAATTAAATTGGATTAATAACTAGCGATAAATCTTTCACGCATGGTAAATTCCATTCACCTATAGATACATTTACTAAAAAAATATACAAACGTTGTTCTGCAATAATATGCAACAATAAAAGAAAGTCGAATGAAACAGGTATTATTATGAAGTGGTAGATAAGAAACATTTCTGAATATCAGTTTCATTAATTCGTACATCAAACATTACGGACAGGCAAGATTAGCATGACGTTCCCGCGGCGGTATCAGCAATTTGATTGATTAACGGCTCAATTCCGCCATAAGCGCGGCCATTACTGCTCGAAATCGGGAACGGTGCATTCAAATCGAGTCATCAATTATTCAAGCCTCTTTTCAACGACAGACACTCGTTCTCGTTACACGATAAGGAACCAATTTCGCGAGGAGTCGAAACAATCCACTAATTCGAATCGCAAATTGCAATCGGTACGTGACCGATTTCCATCGGACCTCTTTCAATCCGTTGAAATTTTTTCCGTTCATCGATTTTATCCGTGAATCGACGAGCCGTTTAATTATTACTTCTTTTTGATAAAAATAATCTTGACCCTGTTTTCTGGTGGACAAGGAAATAGCTTCGAAAGCAGATCGATGGATCGTGCACGATAAAGTTATTGGTGTAATTAAATAAGGATCAGGGTGGACCTAGTTTCCCAAAATACGGATTGACCTCTCTTCTCATAAAATTTTATCTTAACTCCTTATCTGCCGTATTCGGATATAAATTTCTATAGAAATCCATCACCAATATTATTAGAAACTTGGTTCGCTTAAAAAGAAAATTCTAGTTACTGCTACGGCTAAAGCCTCCAGGCGTTTTCGGTTTTCCGGAAGCCATCACCGTTACCGGAAACGCTACTCGTTTGCCCTTATACGCGAGCACAGCGCCACGCTCATCGAACCAGTAAACGCGAGGGAAAAAGTGAGAGTATACATGACTACCTTGAGCCTGATCCCACACGCGTGTGTTCTGTGGGCGCAGACATTTATTTTCTATATATGGTGAACAATCGATTGGTCGTTGCTTACAGATGCAACGTTTGCAGCACGTGCACCTTGTTAGTGCAATCACGCTTTCGAATTGTTTTGACCGGCGATGTGCGACCACATTCTTACCATTCGTTCATGGTTTATGCTAATGGGGATGTTTATCTTAGCTGATCCTTCTTAGGATCACGGAGATCGTATCGTATCCGCAAATATTTAAATTATGTGTTAATGTAATTATTTGCAAATTTATGCAATTCTCTGTTATCTCGGTCCTAAGATTGAATATGAATCCTGTACTTCATTGTAAGTTTATTTAAGTTTCGAATTTTAGATTTGCTAAGAATTCTAATAAATTACCTTTGATTTAACAGATATTTTAGTACTCTTTCTCTATGCCGAAAGGGTTAAAGGAGGTCCCCATCGGCTAAACGCGATTCGAAAGCCAAGTTTTGCTAAATGATTGAAATTAATTTTCTGATTTCAGCGACACGAGATGCATCGTAGGGTGGGGTACAGCAACTACGATGGCAAGATCGCCGGCCTCTACGACCTGGAGGAAACCCTCGGCCGCGGTCATTTCGCCGTAGTGAAGCTCGCGCGACACGTTTTCACCGGCGAGAAGGTTGCTGTTAAGGTCATCGACAAGAGCAAACTCGACGAGGTCTCAAGAGCGCACCTCTTTCAGGAGGTGAGCGTAGAGAAAAGCGCGTTGGACGTGTTCTTTTATCCCCCGGCCGACGGCGCGACGCCCGGCATCGTCTCGTCGATACAAACCGTCGGAGACGACCCACGTATCCTTCCTACTTTTGTTCCTGTTCCCCTCGTGTGTCGCGTGAATGAGAACGAGCAGCACAAAGAGAGGACCGAGGAGGAAATGGAAACGCGTGCTAATCTTTTCCTTCCTTCCGTTTGCTCGCTCAATAACCGTGCAACCCCGCGTCTGCTTGGAAAAAAATTCCTCCCATGATGGAGATAGTCCCATGCAATATTCTACGTGGCGCTGTAGAATTCACCGTTAGGATATATTTTTGCACCAAGTCATTATTTAACCCTTTTCATGCCTTACCTCGTTCACTCTAATGAAAGGGTTAATTAGTGTTCTGTACTATTTGTGATACAATAAATTTCTTTATCTAATATTAACGTGTTAAAAGAAAATTTCCAAATTTCCCAATAGTATTTTTATATTATTTTATGTAAATTTTTTAAGTAATTTGCATTTCCTGTAACCGATTTAAGCCCCTTTTCAAATTTTGCCACCATTTCGCGTGTCCTCGAGTTATATTATCAGAAATATTTACTAAGACATCGATCTTGTCAGTATTTGAAAAAAAGAGTTCGATAACTCTTGTACAGCTTCCCACGAACATGATTTCCGACGTTCGACGTTAAATATTAACGAGCGATTACGTAAGATCCGCTCGACGACATCGCGTAGGAAAGATCTACGATCCGCTTCGAACTTGTAGATCTCGTTAAGGTCAACGAGATAATGGCACTGGAGGGAAGGAGCAAAAGGGTCGTTGACCAACCACGTTTATACGACTCCGGCATCGGACGTGTTGCTTTATCCTCTTTGTTTCTTCGTGCAGGTGAGATGCATGAAGCTGGTGCAACATCCGAACGTGGTCAGGCTTTACGAGGTGATCGACACGCAGACGAAGCTTTACCTGATCCTGGAGCTCGGTGATGGCGGTGACCTCTACGATTACATCATGAGGCACGATAGCGGCCTCAATGAAGAGGTATTTCTATATATGATATACAGAGCGTTTCAAAAAGATTGAACAAAAATTTTAATATATGTTCATAAACGAATATTAATTGTAAAAAAATGCATTCAGTGTTCTATACGAGTGAGGAATTTTTCATAAATTTTGACAATTTTTTCACTATTAAAATTATTCCTAATAAAAATATACAAACAATCCTCTGGAAAATTATTCTAAAATCATTCAGAAAGTTTATTGAATTCTTATTGATAGATATTAATTGGTTTATTAAATTCTCAGGTATTATGAAATGTCCTTCGCCTCTGGATAATACTGTCGTTCACACCTCTTTAACACTTTACCGTTAATTGTATCATTAGCTATATTATCAATTGTAACATCGATCGGAATCATTAGTCACTTACGACTAGTTCGAAAGATTACTTCATTATTCATTGAACGATCGAAAGTTGAATCATACACTGACTAATAAACCATTATTACGCATTCTGCATAGTATTTCAATTCATAAGTAGAGTGCAGTTACGAGAGTTCTTTCAGTAGTTAGGTAATCGATCCACTTCCATTGATACGATCAATGTTGCAAAAATAGACTAGAAAAATTAACTAATCGATTGTTTAAGCAAAGTTTAAGAGACAGTAGTGGAGTCTTTCAATGTGGTTTTTCTAGGTGAAAATATATTTTCGACCCTATCTAAAAATAGTTGAAATATGTATACATATAAATATAAGGCTGCAATAAATTTGTCGTTAAGAATTTTTTTATAAATGTAGATACTTAAGTTTTGATTGTTTTTGAAAATTTTTGAGCACCCTAATATGGAGCCCAAGGAGTCCTCTTCTACTTTTTACAAAAATTCGCCATTAATATATTTTTTACTTCCTATAAAAATTATTCAAATTTATAATAATTTATTTTCCCTTCCCTCAGCACGTTAATAAATTATTTAAAAAATAATCATAGAACACAAAAGTAATTTTTCGTCCTGATCTGAAATCTTGTAATCAAATGGTTAATCGCGATTAATGGAAGTTCAAGGACATACCTCTTTGTCCAAGGTTCACTGATAGGCTTTTGATCGATCGCAGGTGGCCAGAACGTACTTTCGGCAAATAGTCAGAGCCATATCGTATTGCCATCGATTGCACGTGGTGCACAGGGACCTGAAACCAGAGAATGTGGTGTTCTTCGAGAAACTCGGCACCGTGAAGCTCACCGACTTTGGATTTAGCAATAGGTTCTGTCCGGGTCAGAAGCTCGAGACTTCCTGCGGCTCTCTGGCGTACTCTGCGCCGGAAATCCTGCTCGGCGATAGTTACGATGCTCCTGCTGTCGGTAAGTACGATTAAATGGAGAGCTTGTTTGTTTTCTCATCGATTCTCCTTGATTAAACTTTATAGCAATGGTTCTCAACTAATGGTACGCCAAAGTTACATGATCTATATATGAAATTTCCTTGATAAATATTTAACTTAAAGTACTGGAAGTCTAAAGATAGAGTTAAACCTAGAACTGGCAAGATGAATAAATAAATAAAGAAATACTATATCTGATTATTATTTATACTAGATATGACTAAATATTAAATTTAACCTTTATAGCACGTTGATTCTCTAAAATAATAAAGACTTAAATGTTCAGAATTCGTGAATCATACGTTTGAAGAAATCTTCTTGATATTTACGAGTACGTATTATTTGAAATTCAGAGTAGGCTCCTTTTTGTATGAATAATTTTTGAAAACAACAAAGTAGAGTGCAGTTTTCTTATGGATCGCTTGTGATATCGTTGTACAGCTGGGGAAGTGGCCTTGAGTGGCCAATTGATTTGAACAGGGTATACTATATCATCATATTGGAACGTTTGAAGCTCAGAGTATCTTATTGAGCAATAGAGTTATTGCAATAAACCCCTCCAATTATTGTAGATAGCGTGTAAAAGATAGAAACTTGTCGATTGGTATATTACAGTATGATCACGATTGTAATTTAACACTTACTGGAAGATGAAAGTCATCTTCAGCAATAAAACTGTAAATCAAAACGTACGATATTCAATCAGGATCGCATCAAATTATTTTATATTCAGTGTAAATAAAAGAAAAAAATACCTTATGTATTTATATAATGATCTGATTGAAGAAACCCATGTTTCCACTTTCCTTTTTTTTTTTTGTCATCTCCAGATCGAGGCTTTTTAAATAAATTCGTGCAATCTGTTTCTGTTCGGCTTTTCAGATGTTTGGTCGCTAGGAGTAATTTTGTACATGCTAGTATGCGGTCAAGCGCCTTTCCAAGAGGCAAACGACAGCGAAACCCTCACCATGATAATGGACTGCAAGTATTCGATACCGCCGCATGTTTCGGACGGCTGTACACGATTAATTGCCAAAATGCTTGTCAAAGAACCCGAGGGTAGAGCGACGCTCGAAGAGATAGCCGCTGATCCTTGGCTGGCGATTGGGTCAGATTCGGATTCCGTGGAAACGTTGCCCCTCGTCTCGAGGCAACAGGTCTCCGATGATCATCATAATCATATCATAACCAAAATGGTTAACGGTAACATAGCCACCAAAGAAGAAATATTGGAGTAAGTGGACATCGAAGATCGACGACTCTTAACCCTTTTGGTATAAACAAAGAAAAAAGAAATATGCGAAAAAGCATTTGTTGTAATAAAATAAATTCCCATTTAACCCTTTTCTTTCCCTATACGTTATTTTAACGACGATCATAGTCCATCGTCTTTTCCGATATCACTTCCCTGCCAGAAGGGTTAATTTTTAATTAATCTATGATAATTCATGCATAACACACCTGTTCAATCTGATCATAGCGCCCTCGACAAGAATGAATACAATCACATAACGGCGACGTATTTCTTGCTAGCGGAAAGGAAACTGCGGGCTCATCGTCAAGAGCAGGTGCAGAAAACTCGTCCGGAGATCCTTGAAGTCTCGCCTAGGTATGCGTCACGTCAACACAGAACTCGTCCAACCAAACTATCTGAATGTACATCGATTTATATAGACGAAACTATTCGGTTATTTTCAGCCGACAGGATGACGCGGCAACGAACTTGCGTACCGACCAAAATTCATTGAGCACGGTGAACCAATCGTTGTTGAGCGTGCCACGAACGCCCGGTGACGTTTCTCAAGTACGTATTGCACGATCATTTTAACAAATAACAACATCCGATCGTTTAATTATGAAACGTAACGAGTAACAAATTTTACGATCTACTTTACGACACAAAAGGTGTCTGTTCTCGTTGCAGAACATTCGAACGCGGAAGTGCAGCATCGTCCAAGAGGAGGAGGACGAGGACGACGTGTCCTCGTGTTCGGGTCGGGACGAACGAGGCAGCAACTCCGCGTTAAACTCGTTCAATCGGCGCGGTTCCAGGTCGGAGGGCAAGCTATCGCATATCCTGCAGGAGAGGCTGTCCCAGCTGCCGGAGAAACCGAGCCACAAGCCACTGTCGTCTCAGCGGAACTCGCAGAAGGACATCAACGTCGCTCCTGTAACAGATGGGAAAGAGAGACTGAAGTCTAGTCCAAAGAGTGGGAACAGCAATGATTCCTCGTCGCCTGTCCACGCGAAAACGTCGGGCAGATCTCAAACGAGCAATCAGCTCGTGGACCAAGTACCTGCAGCAACGAAGTTCGATCCTACGAGCCAGGAGAACCTAAAGAATCGACTGGACGATGGGTCGCCTAGCTGGGCTAGGAAGGGGACTAGTACAGAGAACAGGCCAAAGTCGGTGTCCGAGTGTTTGAAATCGGTGGGACCAGTACCAGCGAATAAGTGGAGGATGGGGGCGCAGCATCGATCGTCTCTAGACTCTTCTTCGACGACAGGTTCGCCAAAATCCGCAGAAGCTAGCACGACGACCACCACAACCACTATCCTGACGGAATCGTCCACAGTGTCGATCCCGCTCCGACCTTTAGGCGCGTTCGGCGACAACGTGGGTTCGTTGACGCCGAAATACAAGACCATGCCGTCGCCAGGTAGCACAAGCGCAACGTCGACACCGTTGAACGAGATCCTGGAGGACGGAGACGCGTTACCAGTGGCCAACAGCGATAGTAGCGGTGGGTCCAAGTGTCGCGTAGTCAGGAGGACGGGATACGAGCAGAGGAGAAGTAAGTTCCACAAGACGCGTACAACCTCTTGTTCGAGCTCGGACGCTAGCGACGATGACAGCGAGAGCAGGAAGAAGAGGGCTCACAAATTCGGCGCGTCGACGGGTAAACCTATGCCTTCCAGACGCGACAGTCACGACGATTCCAGTGATTCCCAGGATCCTGGTGGAAGCGGCGGTGGCGGTGAAGGGGGTGGTGGAGGAGGGGTGGGTAACGGGGAGCACACGACGGAGACACCGTCGAGCGAGACGAATCGCAAAGACAGTGATAACAGAAGCAACACGACGACCACGACCACTACAACGACCAGCGGAAGGCACAGATGCGCGGAGAACCAAGTTATATTCGGCAGAAGGCATCGCGCGGGCAGGAGAAGAGCCGGAGAAACGCGACTGCGAGAGAGTCAGTCGTTGAACCGTATCACGGAGGTCCAAGAAGCTGAGGGTCCGTCGTCGTGTCACAATCACTGTCACGTATCACGTAACTCGGCTGTCCTAGGGGTTCAAAGCATGTCTTCGTCGTCCTCGTCGGTGTCACAAAGCAGCACGGGCTCTCACGGCATAGCTCAGCCCATGTCTCAGGCAGCTGCCACGGTGCAGAAAGCGAAAGGCTTTGGGGCTAGGCTTCTCCAAAGCTGGTCGCTCAGCACTGGCAAATCCTCGTTATCGCAGCCGTCTAATAAACAGAATAATTGTAGTCCGAATGGAAGGTGCGCCAAGCAGGAGGTACAAAGAGACAGGTGTCAGAGGATCGAGATCTGTTGCGACGATAAGGAGATAAACGGCAGCTCGATCAACCAGATACCGTCCAATGATAAAGAGAACCGGAACGGGTCGGTGAACAGGAACGATTGCAAGAGCAGAAAAATACGTCTGCTCAGTCGTTACTTCGCCGTGCACAAGAAACTCTGCGTCCCTTTGCCGGGCCTGTTCGGCAAGGGACGTCTGTACAAGGCTAGATCGTGCGGGAGCATCGCACGCGATCGCGTCAGTCCACCGTCGCCCAAGTCCGTACTGTTCTGCGCCACGGCGGACGACAAGTGGCGGGAACGTCGGCAGTGGTGCGACGCGAAGCACCAGCATCGCGGCAGCGACGGGGACATCAATCAGAATCTCGGTCTGTCGCATTTGGTCCAGGAGACCGTGGTCGGGAAAGGTTGCGGCGCTCTGCCCACGGTCTGTCACATTCACCTCGGCGACGCGTCCAAGTGCTGCAGCCTCTGTTGATGAAAGCGCATAGAGAGTAAGTCGATGCACAAACGATGGAAGACACGGTACGATTGTGGACGAGCCGTTGTTACAGGATGGATAACGATTGCCGCCGTTTCCAGCGACGAACGCGCGGCAATCACGAAGTGCAATCTATTTTATAGTAGCGACGACCGATTCGCGGGAACACGTGGCCTCGTCGGTTATGCGGAGACCGGACATCTCCTGGACGCCATACGCGTCGCGACGATCGTCACCCCCGACCTTTCGGCGATTAAGCGGCATGCGTCAATGGTCAATGCGTTTGATCGATCGCCTCATGTATCCCCCCCTCCCTCGTGCTTCACCGTCACCATTACCTTACCCCTTCCCCGAATGATGCGTACCGACGAGAGTAAAAGGGTCAAGTCGAAAAGGAGGGCGTTATCGATCGATCTATCGCTCTGCGGGAAGTGTATCTAGTCCGTGTGAACAAACCTATATTAAACATTACAGAGTTTATTATAATTATTATTATTAATTTTATTTTTACTATTAATATTATTAATATTATTATCACGTTTATTATTATTGACTACGATTAATATTATTGTCATTGTCTAATAGTACGACTTAGATATCGACGTGAATCGGGTGCAACAGAGTCGTAAAATCATCCAGCATCCGTGGTCATTGGAATCTCATAACCATGGAGGGTCTTCCTCCCCGTTACCCTTTTATTTAACAGTCCGTCTATTCCATTCTTTTACCGGTTTGTGATTACCGTACTGATGCCACCGTAGCACGATCGTCGCTCTCGCGGATCTCGCGTGACTATGTCACGAAACACGAGCGACACGATATTTATATGTAACGCTAATGAATTACATTTACGCGCGTATCGTTTTCGACGGGGAACATTGTTAGTGGTGCTACACGCGGATGCTCGGTGTGGCGAGGAAGAAAGCGGAAAATGAATTCAAACGACGCTCGTTAAGGGGAGGATTAGATTTGATCCTAGTGATGAATTAAAATCCACACGGTAATTGCTGGGGTTTTATAAAATAAAGATATTTAGTACAGGAGATTTAGATACCTAGTGAAAGCAGAAAAATAAAAAGAAAAACTATAGTCTCGATCGAAGAAGTCTTGAAAGTATATTACAGGCTTATATTTAAGTCTGTCATCTGTAAACTAGAAAATAAGAGATTCAACAAATTCAGCCTATACACTGAAAAAGAGAGATGCAAGGAGTAAAAAGAAAATAAGTTATAAGATACCAAAAATACTATACAGTTATATCCAGATGACATTGTGTTCTAAGTAGTCTTCAGAATTCCATCGAGCGTCGTTCCGCGATTTTCTTCTCGTCACAAGCTCGTTCCCTTTTCGTACATCGCAGCGTAAAATTGAAAGCAAGTCGCGCGCTTGCCGGCTGAGCGCGTTCCTCCATCCTCTTCGTTCATCGTCGTTCTCATCCGAGAAAAAACAGCAAACTCGTTGCTGAATTCATCTTATCGAACAAAATACCATGAGATCATAACTGACGGATGTTACACGCGTCTCCACGAAGCGAGATGAACCGTTGAATGATAATTATCCATGACAAAACACGCTTTTCTTCTTCGTCGATCGACGAAGCTGCTGAAGACTCGATCAGGATGGAGTTTCTTGGATTAACTTTGTCTGCTTCGAAGATCGAATGCGGGTCATTCGGCAGAGGTAACGCTGAGTCTAAGGGATGCATGTGCACACCTTTTCGCTTTTCACCCTCCCTTTTTGTATGTACGTCACTGCGAGCGGTACAGGGATTGAAGGTCGAAACACAAATTTATTTTTTCTATCTTGAATAAATTTAAGTATCGTTGTTTAATCGTGTCACTTTCTGGTACAAGTATAAGACGGAATGATTTTTCAAAATTTCTTTGTACAAATTTTGAATTGAAATTTGAAGCGAAGATTGATAGTTGAATTTTGTAATAATACTTGAAGTATCGACCTTTAAATCTCGATGGTTGCCTCCTCGAAGCTGACGTTTCTTGTCCCTGAAATAGCCCAAGATCGTTGGTATGTACCTAACACGTATCAGGTGTACGAAACCCACGCGTTACTGTATGTACCGAGCCAGACGTTTATAGTGTAATACAATTTATTTATTATATACATATATACATATATATATATATATATATATATATATATATATATAACCTGTTGAGAGACGATCCTTTTCTAAATCGTCACTGCCCGACGATCGTCGACCCTATTTTACTTCTCTCTCTCTCTCTCTCTCACGTTCTTCTTTCACCTTAGTGAAAAAGTTCATCGTCGGGACGAATTGTTTGCTTCCTCGACAAAGACTGAGCAAATTGTACAATAATCACCGAGATCACTAAATCAGACCAAAAAGATAAACGAATGGTAAATTCGAGCGACGCTTGTAACTTCCCTTTCAGTCGCATCGATTACGAACGAGAAACGCGTTCTACTGATTCAACGAAGTCTCGTTCGTTGTTCGTTTCGTGTATCAACGAAAGAAACAAAGAAGTGTAAAACGGGCATTAAATGGATTTCCGTTCGATGGAAATGTTATAGGAAGAGAGCAGAAACCATGACACGCGAACATCCCCTATTTTAGCTGATAAAAGCTGCGCGATACCGTTAGTGGTGTGCTTCATTGTCGGGCATTAACCCCTTAAGAGATCACTAAATTTTCGAAGAAAACTCATCTATTAAAGGTTACTCAGTTTCGGCTATAGTTCTGGATAAACGGACCCGTGTAATAATGCGAGAATGGTACAAAAAGGGGACGTTATATTTTCGTGGAACGTAATATTACGGGGTGAAATTTGATGCTGGTACGAGACTAATGGAGGTGGTCCTTAAGGGGTTAAGGGTCACCGGTGAATTCATAAGCTTGACCAATAAAATAATAACATTCTATCCTTGAAACGTTCTAAGGTTACACTTTCTATACGCGATTAGAAGTACCATATTTTTTTTTTTTTAATTTTTTAATGTACCGCCTGCAAATTGTAAGTAATCTAGCAAATTGTTGCATCAATATCGAGTTGTTCTTGACAAATTTCCTGTATGCGGAGGACTCGTGTCCGGATGCCGATATTATCTATGGTAAATAAGAGATATTTTCGTGTTGTAAAATGAATCCACTTAGCGACACCCATGTGTTATAAAAAAAAAAAAGAAGAATGAAAACGAAGGGATCGTTGCTGTTACGAAATTTTCAAACTGATATTCTGGTTTACTAGTCCCGTTAAAATTGTCCTGGACAATGCTATCGTATAGAGTACAATGTGCCCCATGGTGAATTTTTGTAAGTCGAAAAATACCCTCGTTTTTTCCACCGATATGCCGTACTAACGGATGTCGTCAAACGTTCGTGTCCTCGGGTCTCAAGTGAGAACGGTTAAAAATGAAAACAGAATAATTAACATGGAAAAAGAGTATATACATACACATATACGTATATATACATATAAGACAAGTGTCCGCTTTAGATTTCATAAATGTCGGCCCAACTTACTGCCAGCTGAATGTAACAAGACAAGAGAAACAACAAACAATAAGATCCATTTTGTGTGCACCTGACGACGATCGAGGTGTGTCGTCGTGACGTGCGCATAATTATTCATGCAATAAACTGTGTGCCCGAAACGAATAAATGAAAATGAACGAATCGGCGAGATAGTCTCTGCTGACGTTGTCTAATTTCTCTTATAACGCCTCCCTTACCTTTTCATTTGTATTTATTTAATTTTAATATCGTGTACGCTTGATTTACTTTAAAAGTTTTGAGAATCAGAATTAAAATGATAGGATAAATTTATTTGGACCCAAATTGAATGGATGGTGCCACAAGATGTAATAACTCCAATTTGATTCTTAAAACTTTCAGTAATTCTTTCACTAATTCTTTTATCCTCCTGAAAATTGCTCGCGATTATTGTCCGCGCCTCAAATTGAGGAGTCGGCGATTCAAACTGTATCGGCACTGCTACGCGTTAAAATCGCGATTTTGGAATAGGGAAAATATCAAATTTCGTACCAGTGAAGTCAGTTGTGACAACGTCTTCAAGGCTTAAATCTGTTAGAGCTCGTCTCTTCGTCACTTCTGAACTCGGGCAGATTAGCTGCAATTTGGAGAGCAGGCTAGGGTCAGCAATTAAGGAAATTCACCTTCCAGGTTATCGTAAATTTGAAGATTCGAGGAGCGAGATCCACCTCCTTTTATCGGGTGCCTCTCCCGCCCCTAAGTCAAAGGAAAGATTATTTCTGAGATTAAATCTGAAGTTGTTTGATAAAGAGGGTAAACATCCTGTCCTCTGTCTCTGTTTCTTTTCAACATTTATTAAAATTATAGTACTATCTTTAACTTAAGACTGTAACCGTTTACAAATGACATTGTACTTGTTCTTGTGGATCATTATCGGTCGAACGATCGACGCGTTAGATGCATCATCATTGATGGGCTGATTTCACGCGAGAAAGAAAAATATATGTAGGCACGATGATCGATGTAATTAGCTCAGGTAGCCACGAATTATCCACGCCACGTGTCTCGTGGACAGTTCTGTTCGTGGCGTTACAACATTTAATCAATTCTTCAGCCTTTTTGGCACTTGTTCAGCCTGGCTCTTGGCAACTTAGTTTCACTCGTCCGTAAGACGCTTTCAAAATATCAAAAGCCTCACAATGTTGCGTCGATTCTTTCCTGCTTTAAACTATCCGAGTATTATTATATCCGTACGATAGGAAACGAGATATCCTAATTGAACGTCATCAACGCGAGTAAATGCATATAAACAGCTCGTACGATAAGTCTATGTACAAGCGAGCGACTTGGAGACCAAAAGAAAAATGATACATGCTAACATTTAGGAATCGGAATGTTAAAAATTTGTTCGCGCAAGGATATCGCATATTTAAAGCTGCAACCATTCAGTCGACTTGTTCGTTTTGTAGACCTCTTCGATAACGAAGATTTGAGGTAATCGTAACTTGAAGGCAACGTTAACAATAACTATGATCATTCTTCTTCGCAGAAGAATGTTAACGAGTGTGCGTACACAGTACTTATCGTTTTTAACTAACAATTAGTATACGAACAATTGGACGTGACTAATTCACGTCATAGACAATTCTCTTATTATACTATTTTGTCCTTGAGAGTTTTTAGACTTTCAAGGTTCAATTTGCAACTATTAGTACGGTTTAAGGCTTTCGAAAATTTCCATACCATCAGGGTTTAAGTAAAATTACAAATCTCTGCATATATGTACTTATATTCTAAGGTATTTAAGTCATCGCCTATCACTGCTTGCAACTGTCTTCGTTAGAAGTCCTCTAATAATGATAATTAAGTATTGTGATACTTAATGAAATTGGCTGCAATGTTGGGAAAATATTCGAAACACTTTCTTATAGTAAATCTCTTGTACCTGAAAACCTTAAACAGTATTAACTGTAGCATTTTTACCATTCATAAAGATAAATTTGATTCACTTTTCTCTTACGTAATCTGTTTAAAAACAATTGTTACAATCGTGTACCTCTTTTACAACCTCGAGGGTCGTCTCGTTCATTCTTGGCTACGATTCAAATAGGAAGCGTATTCTATATCCGTGTGCAAGTCTTGCGGGCGATTTGTAAAAGAGGACATTTTGGAAATGTGGCGTAATTAATCACTTTCTTTCCCTGTACGAGGACACCGTGACAAAGAGATTAATACTTCCTGTAACCTTCGATCGTGTCACGCTTTCGGTGGTGAACGTAAAAAGCAGAGATACCTCCATTTCTGTTCTTCAAAATAATTCACGAAAATATCACTATGGGAAGAGCTTGTAAAGTGACAAAAAAAAAAAAAAATACGACAGGCATTTCTGAGTGCTTCATGCCACACTGAGTCGAAAGGCACGTATTGAAAGTCCTTCGGGTCTCTCGAACGCTGCATCGGTTTTCTAACGAATGATACCATTACGTGTGCGCTGCTTGATGATCCAAATGATGCAGAGCTTTTTTACTATTCTCCACGAATTCCTGGAACGGAAACACGAATTTTAATGATGGAAATAAAGAACAGAGAGAGCAATCGACGAGAGCGATTACCATCAATCCACGGCTCATAAAGTATGGTCTGCTGATACCATCGTTCTTTTCACAATCCTCGCAGAAACAAAGGAATATCGTGTCAATGATCATCTGTGACGGAAAAACAAATTATCCTTTCATTTTTATGAACACAGAAAGAAATGAGATTAAAGATAAGATTGCAGCCTGGAAGTGATTAAAAATAACTATATTTCTTCTCGTGTTTAATGCTAGATTTATCAGAGAGAATTCTAATGCAAGGCAATTTGGGAAAATTACCTCATAGATGGAGATGAAACAATGTGCCACCAAGAAGGCAAACACTCCTGCTAAAGCGATTGGTACCCATGGATAATGCAGACCTTCCTTCTTCTAAACATACAGGATAATTAACGGATCTACATTGGATAGAAAGTGTTTTGATAAGACAATAAACGTACCTGTATTAGATAGATTCCTGAGACGACTGTTAAGGTAACTACTAGGACCTTCCCTAAAAATAGAACGAAATCTCCGACACTGTTAATCGCAGCTACCCTTAAAATATTGCTCGATAAGGCCTGGAAGGCTTTCTTTCCTCCCACGCAGAAATTGCATCCGTAAATGGCTGAAAATAATTAGCATGAAATTAATGGAAAATAATATTGAAATACATTTTGCATAGGTTTCTTGAGTTTCTAAATTCAAGATGAGAATGTACGATTTTATTTTAAATTGAATACCTGTCTCGATGTAAGCGTTCCTGGTGAGAAATTTCAAAGCGCACTCGAAACACCAAAAGCAACACTGACAACACCATAATATCCCTCGCACGAGGTCGTTATCGTAACGCTTCAGGCGGTTCTGAACGAAGTTAATTATCGCCCTTATCAGTCGGACTATGCCAATTATCAGCGCGCCAAATGCAACGGTGCCCAGGTGATAGCGCACCAGGTAACAAAAGCCACGAGTTACAGTCAGAGAAAGTTGCTTTTTGTCCCTGTTCATAAACATTTAACTGACGTGATTTATAATTACCATGCGTTTGAATTGCTTTCTGTAAATACCATGCCGAATTAGATATGAATTTATTTCAAAGAAAATAGGGAAGGCTAATGTTGGTTAATTCTAAAGATTTTGTAATTTAAAGAAAAGATATTAAATGAATTTCTTTTAGGGTATAGAGTTGTTAGTTTTTAAATTTTGAATCTGCGCCATTTGAAAGTGCCACTAGCGACACTTAGCAGTAAGAGGAGGAACTAATGCAATAGAAAATGTATTTTTTTTTATATAAAATAAGCAATTTTTGCGTAGTGTTAAAACCTATAGATTCTAAAATCATAATACCATTCAGATAATAGAACTAAGATTTGTTTTAAATTCATATTCTTCACAATAATTCAAAAAGACTGTCACAGTGAGCGCAAAATGCATTTTATAAAAAGTTATTCATTCTAACTTCTTAAATGAACTGTGAAGATATTATATAAGTTGTATCATGATCAAAGAATATTTTTGATGCGCCAGTAGTGTTCAAAAATCGCTTATTTTATAAATAAAAGCGATCTTCTATTTCGTACGTTTTGCCGCTCTCTGTAAGATGGCACTGCTGGCACCAATTTTAAAATACGCGTCGACATAAAACTTAAAAGCCTATAAACATAATAAATTTTAATTAATCGCGTTATAATAATACAATTTTCTCTCTTACCACTGCACAATGTACGCAGCTATATAATTAGTTAAAATAATCCAAGACAATTTTAAGATTATCTTAATTTTCCCCACGAAGATGAGAAAATTATTCAAGAATAACAATGTAGCTATAAATTGCACGCAAAATGGAAATTCGCATGGTGTGTTCAGAAAGCAATTCATATTCAAAGTGAGATATCGATCAAAGTGTCACCTGGTAAAGAACCAACGTGCAACAGCCAACGCGACCACCATGTGTTGGCAACCCAGGAGGAACTCGCAGGTGACGAAGAAGAAAAATAAATTGTACCATCTAGTCGTCTGTAATATAATTAAAAGTATTATCTCATCATTGTGTAGATTCACGTAAAGTTTCTACCGAAAACTTCATTTTCGTACCATTAATAAAGTATCCTTTCTGAAATGGATATGGTTCTTTCGGTTCTTGTAGATGTTTCCCGCGCTTTCTATCCACATCGCACAGTAGATCCAGGCACAGACGGTGAAACCAATTAACAAGTATGTCTGAAACACAATTTAATCTATTATAATTTGCAAACACAAAATTGTAACGATTTAATTCTTAGTCAGGAGACTTTGAAGATAGCGATAATTTAAATTTAATTTTATACTTTTTATCTAACAAAAGTAAAAAATGAAAAAAGTAAAAATTTGGGAAATAGCAGTAAAGGTAACTTTGAAATTTAGAATATAGAGAGCAATTGCTATGAATAGTATTGCTTTCCCAATTTAGTTTTTGGAAGATACTATTTTTCATCCCTCGAAAAATAACGAAAGATAAGACGCTTCCTTCAGGTATGCTGAACTGTTGGCTTACTCTATGTACCCATGCATCGTTTTGTTATCAAATATTTACGTATATAGGTTGAAGTAACAAGGCTGGCATCGCGTAAACAGCTTTTCCTGCTTCGCGGAACAGCTGCATCACCAAGGCGATTCTTTTTCTCATCACCAGAATGATCAGAAGTGTGATGACCTGCAAATTACATGCGATCAATAACGTCAATATTGCTTCGTTAAATATACTGTCAAATGGATACGGTAGAATGTCGATTATTGAACGATACAGGAAGACATTATCGTTCGAATAAGGCAATTTGTCGACGATGAAATTCTCATGAAATATTAACCGAGCAAGTAGTAATATTTATTTATCATATGAAGAAATAGAAACTGTATATATTATTAATATTTCAGTTCCACAGAAGTATCTATTCATATTTCTGTACTTAGCTAATACTAGGAACTTTCTATGTAATTCCATGTAATTTCATTGTTTTATTTATATCGCATGCATTGTTAAAAGACTCTTCAATTATTTGATGAGAATTTCATACTGGTTAATTCCTTACTGTAACGACGGAGAGTATGATCGCGTAGACGAAGTAAGCCTGCTCGCTCGAATCCTCTTCCGGTATTTCGCGCGTCTGTACTCCTTTCCTCTCGTTGTACCACGCTAGCCTGCAACACGATGTCTTCAATTGAGCAGAGTAATAAAAATGTAGAATTTTATTTAACAAAAATTACTCGAATCATCAGCAAATAAAAAAACGTTCGTTTATTATGAATGACACGCAAAATAAATATAATTTTAGGCAAAAACCAATTGAATTAATTAGTTTTAATATAAAGCTTACCAAAGGAAAGTCGAGCCACCTATACACGCCAGTATAACGCCGATCAGCACTATGTAAACCACCCATTGGACCATGTAACGAAAGGCGATTAAGATTCCCACCGAGATGGCTGAAAATTACATATTCGTCAAAAATTGATCAGAATTTGTTGAAAGTGTGAACCGGAGAGGTATCCACAAAACGCGTACCTAAAGCGATTAAGAGAAGGTAGACCAACTCCCTCCACGCAACGCTCAGATCCCTTGAAGCCTCCTGAAATGTGAGATATTTCTCTGAACATATTTTGGAGAAGAAAATTGACCTTAGAGAAATGAGATTAACCTCTCGCAGTAGAAAACCGCGTTATATTTGACCGTAACATTTTGCTGCTTCGTTCAGGCAGCCAGAACGATGAATTATGTTCGACTCGCGAATATTTCTGGTGCAATATTTTATAAAAATAGAATGCACTTTGGTATATTCGCCGAATTCGTTCTAAATATATGGATTCGATTTTGGGGAAGTTCGACGATCTGATACTCACCATTTTATAAATCCTCTTAAGATTGGAAAAATTCATTATAAAATGTTTTTAAGGGATCTTCTGTTTAATCTATTAAAGCTTTGCAAATAATTCAAAAGTTTCGAATTTTTATATTTTACTGTGTCCTTTCAAAGCATGGCATTAAATTATCAAAATCAACAAAATATTTTGTATAAATCTAAATTTTCTTAAAGTTAAAGGTAATTAATATTGAAACCATGAAAGTTATCTGTAATAGTTTCAGAGGATCTTGAATATAATACCTTTAACCCTCGGTTGCTCGAGTGAAATATTTACAACCGCTGGAATTGGCTCAACTTGACCCCAATAATAGGTTTGCATGAAATACACAGGGTGCCCCATTTTTTGGGATTATAATAACCGAAATAAGACCGGTATTTCGATCGAAGTGAGCCCGTCTTATATTTATGAGCAACATGTTCTATTCCCAAGACAAATTACTTCTTTCCTTCTATAAAATGAATTTCTTAAAGAAAAGAAAAAGAAATTAAATAAATAAGTTGTACCATATTTTTTCGATTAAACTGTCATATAGAAAAGGGAAATACTTAATCAGCGAAGAGCAAGCAATTCGCAAAGATCATCATTGGATTGAAGCTAATAGAGTGACAGTTTCGATCAGACAGTTGATATAATCAATCAAACACCATGCTTTGGAAGAACAGTGTGGTAGACGTCGACGATCAGTCTACCACACAATCAAGGATTAACACCTTGTATCATTAACATCATTGTTCGACGATTGATCATCGCGCAGACAGTTTTGGAAGCAGCGGAGACCATTACGCTAACAAGCAGCCTAACTTTATTGAAATTTCGAAAAGTTTACAAACCCTGTAGAAATTATCTAACCCGAGCTTCCTGATCAGTGAAGTTGCTGTCTCGGAATACTCCTTGGGTACACATCGGTTCAGGAACGATACGTGTCTGTTTAAAAATGGTATACATTAAATGAGGAAACAAAGGTTTAAATTTATCCAAAATTAATTGAACACTCAAGGCCGTTTAAGGTATTTAATACCTTCAAGATTGGAGAGACGTTTAAGAGTTGAAGAAATATAATATTAGATAACTACTCTCTTTTATATTTATATCTTACGTAATTTTACCTTACAACTACATTAATTAAAATTCCAGATAATTAAGCAGTGATGAGGAGTTCATGAACGACCTTGAGGGACCATTGATTTTGGACATATGTACTATAATCCCAGTCGTCTGGTCGCGTTTCTCGTTGACAAATTGTCGCGATGTTTCGCCAACGATCAACGGACAGAGACCGGAAGCTCGTGCATTATGGAATACTAACTGATCGGAGCAGTTGGCCACGCAGTTGCGTGACTTCACCCCATTCGCATCCATGGTCATCAGCAGATACCTGGGGAAATGAATAATGAATGAGCATGGTGTTAACGAAGCGGCGGCCGCGAAAAGTGTTGCTGGGAAATCGGAAAATTCGTTGAAAAACACTCGCTTCAGTCGAATTTATGCGCAACGTTAACGCTAATTAGCCGCATTATTTATCGCGCTTTGGGCGCAACCTCTCCCTCGAGATTTCTAGCTGGATTTTAAATTATCATTCTGGCTAGACTACGCTTCATCCGCATCGTTTAAATATTTTCAAATTCCAATCAGTAATATCTGATGAGATTTCGTGGACATTTCGTAACTGCATTAATCAAAAGGATCATTATCGTTTTATTTAATTATGTGCTTCCCGGGAACCTTTTCCATTTGTTCGTTACAAGTCATTCGCATCGAAAGAATGATGTTTTTGCAAGCAAAATTTTTGTAATTTTATAGATTTATTTTATTTGTATTTAATAAAGATATAATTGAAGATACTTTCGAGTTTTTTATTTTTTAAATTTTTAACTTAATAACATTTTCTAAAAAAAATTTCCTCTTCATTCCCTCCTTTTTTAATCCACCGTTATATAAAAGAAAAATTAACACCGAAAGTGTACGAATAGAAAATCATTTTCTTCAACCATGATGCATCAAATACCATACACGAGCATACGAGGAGCACATGTGTATGACATTTGACGTAGGGGTCAGGTAAAGGGTTAATCTATTGCGAGTACCAGTACGGATTATGGCAGATTGTGTACTGTTAACATACCGAGAAATTATTAATCCTTAGCGGACTATCTTTCGCGCGGCTTCGTTTCATTCATCGGGACGAGTTCGCGCGTAATATTGAATTCGGCCACTGTTATCGGGTATGAAGCTCGATGTTAATGCGTCCGCGAATTATTAATCCTTCGGGGACGTCGCGGTCAGAGGGGCGAGATATTGTACGGGGCGAGGTGGGTGTGTTGTTCGCGATTGGACGGTGTACCCCGATAGGTTGTTAGCCGAGAGATTATCGTTAATGTTTATCGCGGTGAAAGAGATTGAAACCAGTGGAAACAGTGGCCGTTAACTTGAATCTCCGATGAAATACCCTGGAAAATCGGTGGACAGTTTCTATTGATTTGCTAACTCGACTTCGTGGAAACTCCATTGTTAGAACTAATTGGAAGATACATCTGTTCGGGTGATAGAATCTTTGGTGAACGGAACGGATGTTGATATCTTCTGTACCATCAAGAGATACAGTTCACGTATTACAAAGTGAAACGACGAAAATATCTTGTACGAAACTTCTTTGAAACTGAATTATGTTCTTTCTATTCTATAAATAACGACTCTCAACAATTCTCAACAATTTTTCTAAAGTTGTATGCTAAGATTCCATGAACGTTTTTCAACGGAAAACTGTTAAGGGTCACTTGCTCCGAAGAAAAGCAGTTTTCATTTAGTTGCTTTCATTGTATCCGATAGAAAAGGAGTGGTTTTAGCTAACTTTCGTGAGAGTACTTCTTAAATCTGATATGACAATTCCGTAAACTTTAAATTTAGAGAAAAAAAATAAAAAAATAGTGAAGTATTTGCAAGAAAGTTTTGAAAATACTTGAAGGTTTTTTGGTCATTAAAAATTTCCTTCCTTCGTCTGATAATTCACGTTTCTCTCAATTATTTCTAACAACGAAGCTTCCAATACATTTTTATCTAACCACAGGACGCACACGTTTTATAGACAGCAGGTGGAGTTGTACTTACCGCATATTCGTCATGTCTTTACCCTTGCATTGAAATTCTGGATCAGTTTCGCCCTTTGTGACACGACCACAGACATTTCCACAGTTATCATAGCCATTTATTACACGAAAAACGTCACCTTTCTCCACCGCGTTTCTAACTAGGAAGCCCTGCAGCAGTAAGAGGAGAAAAAGAGCAAAAGTATTTTCGCGTTGTCTCGATTGAGAAATGAAAGAGAAAAGGGAAAAAGAGACATACGTAACCAATGGCGAGACCGATCACAAGGATCAAAGTCAGAATATCGGTGCAGGATCGATCGGTGACGAAAACGTGTTCCGAGTGTCTCGTTGATATGCCCTCATTTTCTGGTGTCTGAAATGAAAAATAGGGACAATTTTGATGATAGCGAATTCGGCTGAGGCCTCTTCTTTCATGGAAAAATTCATTGGTGATTGTTGGTGAAGAGGGAAATTAATCTGACTTAATTAAATAATATTTGAATTGCGAATTGAATTGAATTGAATTGAATTGAATTTCTTTCACATTTTGCCGGTGTATCTAAAGGGTTGATTTTAAACCATAGAAAGTCTTACCTGATTTGATGACAGAAAAGTATCGCAAAATAGCACTTATGGCACATTAATTTAAAGGTTAAAGTTTAGTAAAATTGACTGTATAAAAATTTTAATAAATATTCTTAATACGAATTAGTTGACTTTTCGTTAAAATAAATAATTTACAGTTTATCGCGAATTAGCAAATATTCAATTTGCAAGCAATTATATCTCAAAATGATACAAGAATTTTCGATTAATTTTACCTTGAAAATTTGCAATTTATGGGTTGTATAACGTTTTATTTTCATGCTGAGGTGCAAATTGATTAATCCATTACTCGTTTCAACGAAGAACCATCGCTTTTATATCAAGAACTTTAATGAAAGGTTTTTGTTATCATCTTCATTAAACTTTTACCTTTAAATTGATGTATTGTAAGTGCTATTTTACTATACTTTTATGTCATCAAATCCAAAATTAATCACTTAACCGTCACACGGCGGACCATGGAGAGATCCCCAATTTTAATTTACTTTTGTATTTCACATTATTTTAACCTTGCCAGGCTCTATTGTTTAAGAGTTAACGAACAACAATTATGACTCTGCAACCAAACTACCAGACCTAATATTTCATCTCTAAACTAAACTAAATAACATTAATCCAAATCTAAAACAAAATGTATTGTTAACCTCTTTTCTTTCATACCACTAATATAAATTTGACTACACTACGAGGATTCTAAAACTATATCTCTGCTGATTAATTAATATGTTTTTAAAGCAAATCTGTCGAAATAAATCGGCAAACCTCTTTACTAACGTTCACGGAAAAGTCTGTGGATCCTCTTAAAGCCATATTAACTGGAAGAAATCGATTTCTTGTCGCAACAATTTCAAGCTTAACATCCGCCCGTTTCTCAGTACGTCACAAATAAGCTGGAACCGGAGAAAAGAGATTTTAGTCGTCGGGTTGTCTTCTTGGCCGAGCTGGTACGCACGGTTTCCGTGTAACGACCGGAAACGGAGGATCTATCGGTCGCGGTCAGCATTCCAGTAAATTTTCAACCGGCGAAATCGAGCGTAGCTAATGCTTTCGACGAATCTGCGCCGACACGAAGAGAGAGCTTGTAACCGTGCTACGAGCGGACGCGCCGGCCACCCTTAAATTAATTAGACTGTTCGACGGTGACCTTGCATTACAGTCTGACCGTAATTAAATTTCTGCCCGCCATATTAGAAGCGTGTCAATTTCGTTCCGTTGATAACATCATCACGTTCGCTACGATCATACGGTGTAAACATTTTTATTTTTCAACTTTCCGCGACGGCCCTGCCAGCCACCGATCGATAAAAGCGACGAGCGATAAAAGGAAAAATCGATTTGCAGTAACAAACAGCGGTTTCAGAAATGGACGAACGAAAGATTGCTGAACTTTGCGACGCTTGTTTTGACGTAAAATGAGAGTTCAATTAGTAGTTCGGGTGGTTTCTTTGGTAAGAGGTTGTTGGTAATTGTTGGATTGGAATTTCTGATGAGTTCTCTGTTGGTTTTTAATTATTCGATAGGAAAAAAAGCTACTGGCGGCGCAGAAAGTATTGGTACACCGATCAATCGCAAACAATGCCTTATAAAATTACTCTGCTATCCACTTTTATGAAACAAGGTCTTTAAAACAGAGTTTATAGAAACAGAATCGTGCACCCATATAATTTACAAAATTAATTAGAAAAATTCAGAAGTATTAGTTAAATTATTTGACCTTTTCGAAAGAACAAATTGAAAGGCACTATTTTTAATCACTTTTTTCCAATGAGAAAATCAAATTTTCTCGCTTTGTAAAATGATGAAAAATTATCTTTCTTTTATACTAATGAGATACAGTGTTTTTTAGATAACGAGAAAATGAATTCGACCTCGGTACTTTAAATAATATTTTTAAAATAATATTTTTAAAGTTAGAGTGAAAAGGTAATCTTTTCGCGGTTCTTCGTACGAAAAATTAATGCCAGAGAAATCAAAATGTAGGAACGATGGAATTTTTTGGTAGAGGATAACAGTTTTTTTAAATGCATATCCAATATTTATATTGAAGAGCGTTTCACCTCTAAAAATCACTTTTTAAAAACGTGAAATTGTTTTACATATCGCGCGCATATCGAATCTATCCGCGAGAATGCAAAAAGAGTGATAAAAGTTTCAGAGATTTTTTTTAAGGTAGTTACAGATAGTTATTACTTGCGTTTCTATTCACTTCTAAGCAATTAACAATTTTTACGATAATATGATAAAATGGCACAAGAATGAAATTAATTACTACAGAGATTGAGAAACGTAATAAATTTAAACAGAAAGGAAATTATACTTCCTTTACAAAGAGCGATTACCCTGATAAATAAAATATTAATTATAAGACGTAATTGTATAATTCTAAATTTGCCATTTTAATAAAAGAAATTAAAATTCTTCTCAAAATTTATTGAAATTTGTAAAAATCAAAGAATTGTCAATCATGACTACCTTTAAAGTTCTACATATTACATGAACGCGTTGCTCAAAGTTTTGGCAACACTATCGATCAAATTTTATTGCATGTTTAAAATTGCATTCTGACGGCAAAACAGAATAGAAACAGCGACAAAATGGAACCGTTCGTCTGCTGCAATATACTTTCCTTTCTCTGCAATTCTACGCGAAAACCAGACAGCCACGTTTATCAAGAAAATCTCACAAATTTTTAAACTCGATTCTCTTCAAAACGTCCCAACTAATTTTACCTGGCAGTATTTTGTCACGACAAAATTCATTTCATCGCCATTTCTGCCGCCATATTGTGTTAGAAATAGTTTAATCAACCCATAAAAAAGCACCGCTAATCAATCCTTTTACGTACACAAAATGGCAAAACTTGATTCTGAAAAAAAATTCTTTTAATAAACCACCCAGTCTGGTCTTTAACTTCTTTCAAACAACTTTTCTCGAATTTTTCGACGAAAATCAGTGGCCCAAACGAGCCGCAAAATACCCCAGTTTCTTCCTAACGACACCGCCCGAGCCGGAAGTTTTATATTAAAATACTTCCGCGGAAATTACTTAGCAGAATCTTGGAATTATAAAAAATTATTTATTAGATACCAAGCTGGTAATCAACAATTTACTATCAACATCATGTTATAAAATTATTAATTTAATAGAATATTGTTCGAAACGTTGCCGAGGTAAAAGCAATAATAATTTGATTGTTTTATTAAATTTAAAAATCATACTTACTGTTGGTTCCACCTTGGACGATGGTTCGTCCGAGCAACCACAGCAGCCCATTTTCGAGGAAGAATTGAATCCTTGGAAATGGGCGACCTCCTTAGGATCCTGGCCGTGTCCAGGAGTGGCCTCTGTCACGGATGCGCCGGCTTCCGGGAATAAATTAAAACGGAAGTTCTTTAAAGCGAGTGAAAAACACGGGACGTTTACGGTTACGCGGCGCGAAAATGTTTCGCGAAGCTTTCCGCGCTCGTACGAGTGAAAAATGAGAGATAACGAGTGAAAACTCGCGTTATTGAAAGAGATACGACGGAGATAAGGAGAACGGAAAAATGAGCACATCGATTTCCGCCGTTGATAACACCGGAAATGAAGGTTTTAAGCTACCCCCGCGGGACGGTTTTCTATTTCACGAAATGAATTCAATGAATTATATTTACCGAGATATAGAAACACCTAGGTGTGATTTCAATATTTAAACTGTTAATTGCGTTTATTGTTTTTCTCCGTAGGTATGATAAAACGTCAAGGAAATTGAGTTCATTTATTCATAATGAACTGAACGTCATATAACGGATCAATAAAGTTATTGGCACACCCAGTTTGCCATTGTGATAATTGTACTTAACACGAGAACAACCGGCGTTCAACGTATATTTACCTTCTAATTGAAAGAAAAATTAAAAAATTAAATAAACGATTTAAAGATTATCATACATAATCAGTGTCTATCTAAAGAAAAATGAACATATGTATGTTTTGATAAAAATATTTTAACTATTTCTATAATTATGCAAAATTCAAAAGGGAAGGTCTAAATCTTTGACGAGTTTCAAAATTGCAACGAAACTTTAATCCAACAAAAATTAGCAATCACTCAATCTTCCATACGACTCGAATTATTGCAACCACTTTCGAACTACACTTTCAATCGGCCACTATCGATAGATAAGCGAACGATAACAAATTTTTCCTAACATGAAGCAGTTTCAAAAAATCGTTCCGAGTATCTGACGGTCTGAAACAACGACGAAATCGTAGGCGAGAAAGGAAAAGAAGAAACAAGTCAATTCTTCGATTCCTTCAATAGACCCACTAATTGCGAACGAGATTGTGGATCGTCGTATAGAAAGCGTTCTAACGATCGGGGTCTGTCGCGAAAAATATAATACTTTTTTTTTCTATGCTAACCGAGCGTCGTCATTAATATTTTGCGAGACATCCTCTCTCTCTTTCGACGCGAGTCACGTCAGTTTCGATCGATTAATCGAATAAGCTTGCACGCCACGTTGAAACGAGTGGTACGTAAGGTTCCAGCGTGAGGGTTGACGGGTCACTGTTTTTAGCGACAGAACCGACGGAGTATTTTTAATGACAATCTTCGTTCTTGTCACTCGAAATAGCGTTGGGACCCTTGACGATAGAGATTCGTTGATATCCGTTGCTTTTATTTCGAGACAGCCCATTCAAACTTTCGCTTCTCTCGATTAATCATTGGGATCGCGGTTACGAAACAACGCGGGGCTAATTGAAAAGCGAAAATAGAGTAAACCGTGCACCGGAAGTGTTCTTTATTCAGCCTTTTATTAGAAGCATCGATGCACCGTTTATATGCCATTATTTATATGCAATTATTTCAAGCATTCGATTCAAGGTTTTCTGGTAATATTTGATTCTGAGCTGATAGAATAATCGAGCATTATTGGTATCTTCAAATATATCCAAAATTTATTTTAATGTGATTTGTATGAAATTGTATTCGCTAAATAAATAATAATTTCGTTATTTTATAATATCCAGATTTAATAACAATAAAAGTAACAATCTTTTGCCGAGCTGTTTTAGATCCTCGATTCATTAATTCAATGAATGACGCACCATATGCGTTCTTCCATTATTTATTTAATGTGAATAGTAACAAAACGGTATACGTTCTACAGTATTAACAAATTGAACCGTTGATTGATACACAGTACGCGTACTATGCTATTTACCCAATTCTATCAATGACACACCCTATAGGCCCTACAATGTTTACCTAATTCAATCAATGACTGATGCACGGTATACTTCCTATGTTACATATAGGATTCAATCAGCACATATACATTCTATGCCATTTATTCAATTTTATCAGCGACACACTATGCGTCCTGCGCTATTTAACCAATAAAGTCGACGACGCACCACGTGCGTCTTGAAAGGAAAGCAATATTATAAAATAATTTTCAAAAATACTGTCGATCGGATATGATTCTTTATAAGCAATGCGATTGAGAAAAAATGTGTAAAAATAGAAATTAATTAATTTAGCCAAAAAAATGTGATAAATGAAAGAAAGAGATTCTGGCTCTTGGAGATGGTTTCATAATAGGACCTCGGTTTTGAATGGTTTAAGCACCGGCTGCACGCAAAGAGCATTTCGCGGGTTGTTCACGGAATACGTTTCCGCAACGAATTTCGCCGGAGTTGCTTTTTTTCCCCTGCTCGATAAGCTCGACGCAGCCAGTCAGCCAGCAGGAACAATACAACTTATCGAGCGACACACATACCTGGTTTATTGGGTACGCCAGATAAGAGGCGAACGAAGGAAGGAGCGAAAGGATCGCGAAAAAGCTGGGACACGAAAAGCCCGCTGAAAATCGGGGACCGTGTCACCTGGAATTAAACAACAACATGATTTTACGCGATCGTGAATGAAAAGCGTCGAGCACGCGAATATCCTGTATCTTGATCGCTCGATAATTCGATAGGCTAAAACAAGAGGCTGTTCTTTCAGAGAGAGAAAGAAGAATGTTCCGATTACGGATGTTGGTCAGGTGTTCCAATATCAGCAGATGTTTCTTGACTGTTTTATACCTTTATTCCTTCTGAAAAGCAGTACCGTTCAAATTTGTAACAGTGGTTCCTTTCTCGTATTTTTGGAAGGGTATTCTTTTAGAAGTGATATTTTATTTGAAAGATCTAATTGTTCCAGCATATTATCAGACTTTAACATATGAGACATATTTTATTTACAACCAGTGTTAAACTTAAGAGGTAAGACAGATCTTGGAATATTAAAAATTTGTCACCTTCTATTTTTTAATTACCTACGAAGCTAATAATAGTTGACTTCTCTTATTCTAGTATGTTTGAGAAAACTAGCATTTAGGGAACTTCAGACTCCCAACTTAGTCTACTGTTTTCTTGCACCTTTATAGATATAAAGATCTCGTCCGGAAGGTTGGCGACGCACGGTACTTAGGCCTTGTTCTCTCTATCTTGAGTAGAATTTAGATTTCTTATTTTTGGTACCATTATATAGATAGAATTAAGACTTAGAAATTTAATTCTCTGTCAATTCGTTCCTAGTATCAGCTTCCCTCTAGGTACCTGGGCTCTAAATTTCCAATTTTTGCTTTGCCAAACATGAGCCAAAAGTACATTTGTTACAAATTTTTAACAATCAAATTACAGTAATAAAATACAAGGAACTTCGTGCAGTTTTTCTTGAATTATAATTGTATATTCACTTTTGTGTATCATTATTTTTTCCGGTAATAAACCTGGTAGTTTTATCATGGCTAGGATAAGTTCGGCAGTTTCGAAGAGGTTTTCTGAGCGAAAGGTGACTCAACGTTGACTTTTTACGGCGATTCGAAGGAAAGCCGGGAAGTTCGGTGCAGTTTGTTGAAACATTGTCTTCGAGGGGAGGAAAGTATACGTTTGAACGGAGGAGTTAAACTTGTTGAAGATTTCAAGGAAAGTCTACACTGATCCTCCGGTAATGGAAGGGTGAGGTAAAAATGGAAAAGAATGCTAAGTTGAGGGGGTTGGATATTCTATTTTCAAACTGGAGGATAAGCAATTTTCGTGAATTCGACAGCTTTCAAGCGTAAACTACGAGTTTATATTATCAACCGATTTCAAATCTACCTCTGTTTTCGACAACAAATATATTTCACGATTTGGTATAAAAGAAAATGAAATCAACGTTATACTTTTTGTGATACAAAAATAAATTATACCTCGAAATATGATCTGCATACATATTAAACTAAGGGTTTCAAAAAATCTTGTCCTGAAAAATGGAATGAAAAAAAGGAAAGAAAATAAAGTGAAAAATCGATAAGCCGTATACGAATCGTTGGGCCAAGTTTTCAATGAACCCGTTCGCGCATCAATCAAGACTGCACGACGCACGTGTAATTGTCCTTTCTCCCGGTAGAATATTTTATCCGACCGTTGGTCGGGGGAAATCGTTCAATCGGACGATCAAATATTCCACGGGCAAATGACACAGTTGCTGGTCGGTAAATTTCGCATTATTTGCAAATTGCTGCGACTGTACGCTTCGTGCCACGTTTCGACGACTATCGTTATTCCCTATTCTTGATCGAGACGTTTAGTGCAGCGATTTCTATACTTACTATTAACGAGTTGAATGTTATGTGGTTCGCCAGCAACCAGTGTTATAAATGTAATATAATTGAATAACTCGAAGAGAAAAAATAATATTGTGAAAAAGTTCTTGTATTTATTTAGTGAAATAGCAAGTGGAAATATAAATTATAATTAATTAATAAAAGGGAAGGGTAGATAATCTTTGAATAATATTAATATCATACGAATAATGTAAAGTATTAAATTGAAAATCAACCTTGTATTATTAATAATTAGTAATATTAAATAACCATATTTTAAATAATTACAATTACAGCTTGCTATACCATATACGTAAATTTTTACTGCGGCAGTTTAAATTTAACATATTGGCATATTCAGCGACGAATGAATAATTCAAAATAGTAAAAATTTAGTATTTCAATTTGTTACTCGAGACAGCAAGTGTAATTTCAGTAGTATTCATGATTAAGTTAGCTGAGTCTGCTTATATAACAACATTGAATCGATATAATTATTTAAGACACGGCACATGAGATAAAATCCGAGAATAAAAGTTTGTGAAAAATGAATACAACTGTGCTTTGAGATATGAAGTTCTTCTTTCTCGGTGGAAATTTGTCGCATTTCACAAAACTGTTTAACACCCGAGATTTGGATCAGTTAACTTTTTCAAGTCATTACCAACGGATTGCAAATGATGCTATGAAAGTTGTGGAACTTGCGAAACAATTCTTCGAGGATTTCAAGTATCTATGGACTT